GCGGCGGGGCGTGGGGCAGGGCGGCTCGCAGGCTCCATGGCGCGGGCCCGGCCGAGTCTCCCCCTCAGCCCCCGCTGAGCGACCGCGATAGGGTGGGGGAGGGGCTGGGCGGAGTATATGTAGGGCTACGGTCCCGCGAGACTTCGGTGTCGCGGAGTGGAAGATGGCGGCTGCGGGCCGCCGCGAGGCAGGCTGGGGATTGTAGTTCTCGGCCCGGTGGGGCCCGCGGCCCGGAGCGCTCAGCGGGAGCAGACTCCCCTCGCTCCCAGGCTCGGGGCCCGCAGAACTAGCCCCGCAGCCCCTTAACGGTCACGCGGGGGGCTCGGTCCAGGGACTCTGGGGGGCTGCAGCCTGGCTACGCTTCCCCAGGGTTCCCCGGGAACGTGTTTAGGGGCTGCCAGCCGCCGAGCGCGGGGGAGGGAGAGCCGTCGGGTCTCCCCCCAGGCCCCGCTGTCTGGGCACGCGGGAGCAGCCCACGCGTGACACAGCACTGGCCAGACCTGGGCTCCATCTCGCCCACCACCCTGGCGCCGACAGCGGCCAGCAGACGCTGCCGAAGAAGCGGCCGCAGCGCGGGCAGGAAGCAGCGATGCTCCGGTCCCGGGAAGGGACGTTCCGGTCCGAGCCGGTCCGCGCGTGGCTGGCTCGCAGGCGGTGCGAGGGGCAGAGCGAACGCGGCTGTCCGGGCTGCCGGGATCCCCGCGGGTCCCATCCGAAGTGCCCGGACCCGGCTCCACTTGCCGCCCTCCCCGCTGCGGGACTGGAGCGGGTGTCCCACAGTACGCCAGCCAGGTGCGGCAGCAGCGGCCACGGGCCGAGACGGGTGGGCCCCTACGTGGCATGAGCAGGGCAAAGTGCACCGAAGGGGGAGCTGAGAAACACGGCCCGAGTAGTAGTGCCCCACCCACAGCCGCCGCCAGCACGCGTGGGGGCTTTGGAGGGTTCTTGCAGAACCCCTGCTAAGTCCCGTGTTTAGCCCACACGGGCAGCCAAGGTTCGTGGGCGGCCCTGACCCTCCCTTTGTAGCCGCGGCACCTCAAAGCACAGCGAGCATCTCCCGCGTGGGCAAGCCCCGCGCGCTCACATCCACTTGCGGCCGGCCGGCGGCCCAGCCCACGGGAGCCACCCCGCCTGGCCTGTGAACAGCAACAGGAAGAGGAACCACCTCGCTCGCCGCCACTCGCCCGCCTGCCTCCCTCCTCCCCACGCGCGACGGGAGCAGAGCGGCGCGGCCCCTTTAAGAGCCTGGCTGGCGGCCCGGCCCAGCCACGTGCAGCGGGGGGTCAGGCGCCCCGGCCGGCGGGGGCTCGAGCCCTGCGGGCGGCAGGCTCCGCCGGGCTCCCATGGCTCCTCCCGGCGCCTTCGGACACCTGAGCCTGGCGCTGGGCGCCGCCGTGGCCGCCCTGGGCTCGCTCCTCTTCATCGCCTGGAGAACCTACTTCCCCGGCGGCGGCCGCTGGGGGGCGCGCTGGGAGCCGCCGCTGGCCGCGGGACAGGTAAAGCCGGGGGGGGGGGGGGGCCCTGGGGACCGGGCCCGGGCCCGGGCCGCGCACGTGACTGGAGACCCCCCCCCCCCAATTTCCCCTGCCAGCAGCAGCGGCAGGGCGCCAGCTCTCTGCTCCGGGACAGGGGCTCCGCGGGTGCAAAGCCGTGCGCCCCATTGCCAGGGCTGGGGGCACCTCCCTTCTTGCCCAGCTGTGGCTGGGATCGGTCAGTGGCTGCGCCCCCCAAACCCGCTTCTTTGCAGCACTGGGTGAGGGGGCCCCCTCCCCCGGCCCCGCACCCAGCCCTGTCTGCATCCCACAGAGCCCACACTAGGCGTTTTAGCGCTGGGGCAAGCAAGCATATTTCTGCCCCTGCTAGTCGTTTCCGTCATTTTTCCTCCCAGAGGTGACGGGGGTGTCATGTGCCCCCCCCCGATTTTTTGTATTGCACCCCCAACCCGGACAGGCTGGGTGGCCAGCTAAGGTGAGTCAGGGAGTGGATGTGGTGACCTCCCTCGAGCCCCACCCTGCCAGGCTTTACACATCACCTGTTTCCACCCGGTTTTCCCGCCCTGTCTCTGGCTTGCACCCTGGGTGCCCGCCCTGCTTCCCCCCACGCTGGCATTTTGGTCCTGGCATTCAAAGGGTTAACTGCAGAGCAGCCTGGGATACCTACTCCGCTGGCGAGCTGCGGCTGCTTCCTGGATGTGGCTATGGCCTGGCATCAGCCCCTCCCCCCCCCCCGCCTGCCCCACTGCAGAAACTCCCCTCCGCCCCTCCAGTTACAGAAATGGCATAGAGCCCCCAGGTTGTGCCAGGCCAGGGCGAGCCCATAGGGCACATACTGGGGCAGGGAGAGGAGGGCACCTGAGCTGGAGACTGCAGGTTGAAGTTGTGGGGTAAACCCCCTTGCTATCCACCTCGTCAGTGAGGGACCTTTGCTAGACGCCTGCTTGGCCACCCCCTGCCATAACCCGTGGACCCCAGGGGTTACAGTGTGCAGGGTTCCAAGCTGCCAGTGGGTGGCACCGGGCCCTGCACGGGGCGGGGGGGCTGATGTTGGATTGTGGTTCTTGCAGGGGACATGGGGCCACTTCCTTTGCTTGTGCTTGGCCCAGGCCTGGGCAGCACCTCTTTCAGTTACCTGGGAGAACGCCGCCCTTCCCTTTCCAGGGCCCTGCATCAGCCGCTCCTCCTAATTCCAGTCCCTTGCTCTCCTGGCAGCTGGATTTCTCCATGCGGCAGGTCCTGGTGCTGGGCCTGGAGGGAGCTGGGAAGAGCAGTGTTCTCCACTACATCTCCAGCGAGGCAGCCAAGGACCGCACAGCTCCCACCCAGGGCTTCAACTCAGTCCAAGTGTACGCAGACGGTTTCCAGATCGACCTGCTGGAACGTAAGTCTGGCCCTGGGCTCCTTTGGCGGGGTGGGGGTGACCTCTTGCCAGAGCAAGGAGCTTTTAAACATGTCCACAGGGCTGGCCCACCTGGAGAATCCCAGCACTCGGAGCCCCCTGCCCGGGAATGACCTTCAACTCCCTGTTTGTCTCGGTCACCAGCTGCTAGAGCACCTGCGTAGGTCAGGGCCTCTCAGTCTGGCTAGAGATGCCTAGGCCCCTGCGCACTGCTTCTCCCCCACGGCAGGAGGGAGTTTTGTCTCCTTCCTGATGCCACCAGGAAACACGTTTAACAAAGCACCCCCCCACCCCGTTTCCCATGTCTTCTCCCCGGGTTAAGCCTGGGGTGCAGGGCCCCCGAAATGCTCCCCTGACCCCTCCACCCCCCATTCCTGGGCTGGCCGCGTAGCTGACGTCTGGCTCTTTGTCTCAGTTGGCGGCAGCCAGAACCTGCGGTTTTACTGGAACCAGTACCTGAGTCAGGCCCACGTGCTGGTGTTCGTAGTGGACGCTGCAGACAGGCCACGCCTCCCCGCAGCGCGACAGGAGCTGCAGTGGCTGCTGGCTGAGGACCCTCGCTTGCCCTTGGTCGTCCTGGCCAATAAACAGGTCAGACTCGCAGCATCTCGTCCCGCTGGGAACTGGTACGGCTCTGGCTGGCCCGGGACAAGGCAGTTGTAGCAAAGGATTTTCAGACCCCTGAGGCAGGGCTGCTTGGGCCCAAAAGGGGACAGGTGAAGTCCAAGAACTAAGGACCCTCACAAACCTCCCCACCGCTGCTCAGAGGGCGCTCCAGTACTGCGGTATAAGAACCAACGTAGAATAGAAAGGGAAAGGCATCGTTCTTTGGCCTCGCCTTTGCTAATGTGTGTGTACACACAATACATCTAGAAAAGCCTCAACAACCCCTTCTCCTGCACATACTTCTGCCCCCGGGAGAGGAGGAGAGAAGCCCAGGACAGAGGAAATCCCAGTGCTCAGCGTGGTATAAGAACCTGTAGAGAACAGAATTTAGTTCAAGCAGAGAACTCAGACCTCCAGCTTTCTAGCTGGCACCAGTTTGTTGTTCTTCCCCTGGAAACCACAATTTATATAAATGACCTCAATGCAACAGGGGGGCTGAGGCTCACCTAATCTGCAGTCCTCTGGCCCAAGCAGCACCCTGAGCGTCACAGTCCGGCTCGCCCTACGCTGCAGGGATCCCTTCTAGTTCTTGGGTTCTGAAGCTAGGCCCAAGTGCAAACCCATCGCTTTCTGGGGCCACCTTTCCCACTACGAACGGGCGTCAGCCCCGGCAGCTCCATCCATGCAAGGCCCTGCCTAGCCCGAGCCAGGGTGCCTGCTGCGTAACCCTGTCGGAAGGGGCGCTGCATGGGTTAAAGAGGTGGGTGACACCATTCAAACCCAGCTGGTCCTGGTTTCTCCTAGGACAAGAGCGATGCCCTGAGCGCGGCTGAGCTGCACCGGGAGCTGGCCCTGCACACGCTGAACGAACAGAGGGAGTGCTTCCTGCTGCCTACGAGTGCCACGCACGCCGCGCTAGCCACTGCCACCAGCATCCGGCACGTGAAGAGTCTGCTGGTGGAACTGCTCTCCCAGCTCTGATGTGCTCTTCACACCCTAGGGACAGGCAGGTTGGACTGACCCTGCTGCTGCTCGTGTTTGCTTGGACTGGAGACTGCTGGCTCTGCACTGACGGGCCAGAGCCGCTCTACTCCCATGCACTCCTTTGGGGCCTATGCAAGCTGCCCGCAGCTGGCTGGCCCAGTCATGGATCTGTGGCGAGAGGGGAGAAAAGCCTTTGTCCCCTGGCAGCTCAAGGGCAGAGTCTCCCATCTCTAGATGGGGCACGGTGATGTTTACACACAATATCCCAAACCCCGCGCAGCAGGGGCGGATGGGCACCATTCAGCCTGGTGCACGCGGCACAAAAGGGGCCCCGCAGTGCCACAGCCCGTAAAGGCCCTGCTGTTTTGCAGCCCAGTTAGACGGTTGTGCCCCAGGTAAATGACATTTAAATTGACAACTCTAAATGAAGGATGTGCAGGCAGGCCTGGTGGGTGCTTCCTGGCCCAGGGAGGGCGGGCCATGGGGCAGAGGAGGGGCCGTAGGAGCTTCTGCAACGAGGCTCTTCTCTGGCAGGCAGCAATTGTCTTTCCATGGTGTGAAGGGAGCAGAATCCCCCCTGCGGCCAGGGCTGCTGCAGGGGGCAGGTGCCTGACAGACAGAGCCACTGGTGCCAGTCCAGCCTCCAAGCAAAAGGCTGCAGTTGGTGCAGTTACTTCCCTGCACTCACACACGCACCCCCGCCGTGAGGAAAGGCATTCGCGGCACCTACCGGCCTGGAGCAAAGCTCCACTGGGAGAGTAAATCACCCCCAGATCAGTGGCTGAAACAGGGTGGGGCAGGGGTTGAGGGGAAGGGGTTGAGGGCCAGCAGATCGAGGGATGTGATCGTTCCCCTTTATTCGACATTGGTGAGGCCTCATCTGGAATACTGTGTCCAGTTTTGGGTCCCACACTACAAGAAGGATGTGGAAAAATTGGAAAGAGTCCAGGGGAGGGCAACAAAAATTATTAGGGGTCTGGAGCACATGATTTATGAGGAGAGGCTGAGGGAACTGGGATTGTTTAGTCTCCAGAAGAGAAGAATGAGGGGGGA